ATTCCCCCCGATCACTGCCAATTTACCCCTATCACTGGCAATCCATAGAGAAGAAAAATGTCAGGTTGTATCTGTCAGTTTATACTACATTGTAAAACTGACACAAAAAGTTTCATATTTAGGCGAACAGTTTGGTGAAGATTGTAAAATAGAAGTAAAGAATGATTGTGATTAGAAATGACAGTGCTGGAGAGATGGGACAATAGGGACTGTGAGCTGTGCACGGTACTTATAGAAAGTCCCTGTATATAGAGGGCACCATGGGGGATTACAGGGGGGTCTTTGGTAGATGATTCCTCTCCACATCAGAGGATACAATGTATAAATGTATCTTTATAATAGGAACAGTGTATGGGGTGCTCAGGGACCTCTCCACATCGGAGGATACAATGTATGAATGTATCCCTATAATAAGAAATGTCTATGGGGTGCACAGGGACCTCTCCACATCGGAAGGTACAATGTATAAATGTATCCTTATAATAAGAACTGTGTATGGGGTGCTCAGGGACCTCTCCACATCGGAGGGTAAAATATATAAATGTATCCTTATAATAAGAACTGTCTATGGGGTGCTCAGGGACCTCTCCACATCGGATGATACAATATATAAATGTATCCTTATAATAAGAACTGTCTATGGGGTGCTCAGGGACCTCTCCACATCGGAGGGTACAATATATAAATGTATCCTTATAATAAGAACTGTGTATGGGGTGCTCAGGGACCTCTCCACATCGGAGGATACAATGCATAAATGTATCCTTATAAGAACTGTCTATGGGGTGCTCAGGGACCTCTCTGCACTTTTATTGGGATAACATTCCACTCATAGAAAGAGTTACATTTGTAATCTCCCCAACGATTTTATTTGATACATTTAAAATATTTATGATACTATACAGAATAATATACACATTATGCAGATATTGATTGTACAGAACAAGGGGCCCCCACCGTTTACAGGGGCCCGAACTAGCTAGGTGGTGTTTAATTAGTACAACACAATAATGTAATGGATTCAATGTAGCATGATAGAAAGTTATATATAATAGGACACACATGTAAAAACAAGCGGCCACGATTTTTCTAGAATGTATGTCTGTGTTCTATATTTATTAATGGATAGATTTATAATAAGAATCTATGTATATCCCTATTTATGAATGCAGAATAAAAATTCATATATTGCTAATAATAACAACAAAAACAACAACAACAACAACAGTATAAAATAATAATAATAATAATAATGATGATGATATATTTTTAATTTATACTTTTTTATTTATATATTATTTTTTAAATGATGATGATGAGGATTATTCTTATTATGACTATTATTATAGGGGCAGTAAGTGCTGTCACACACTATGATATCGGGGTGTATTGGACTGATATAATGGAGATTGAGGTGTCACATGTACTGAGGGTTTGTGGTGTCCCCTCTCCCCCTCCATATGAGATGTCACACAATTGTGTGTATGGTGCTGATCGATCCCAGGGATGTTGGTGAGATTACAGAACATTAATAGCGCTGACAGTACACACACGTTGGACCCGGTGTCATTGATCCGTTAAGTGATCTGCCTTGTTTCCAGTAAGGAGAAGCTCCGGCCTTCCCAGCACAGCCCTCCCCGGACGGGACACCCGGATCAGTTGTCCGGGATCATATATGACCCCCCAACCCCCCCTCACCTGTGTGTATTCTGTATACTGCCAGTACTGAGCTGATGTGTACAATTCCTGATCAATGTACATACACTGTGCTATCAGTATATTATCCGGGGGAAGGTGGAGGGGCTCCAAATATTGTGTCTGCTCCATCCATCCAACCATCCCTCTGTCTGTGTTCCTCCTTATCTCACACCTTCTCTATCTTGTATCTATCTGTCTATCTGTATTTATCTATGATCTATTCTCTTTCTCTCTCTCTCTCTCTCTCTCTCTCTCTCTCTCTCTCTCTCTCTCTCTCTCTCTCTCTATCTCTCTTTCTT